ACAGTATAATAATATAATTTTTGAAAAGGAATAAAGTTAGATGTTTATTCTGAAATTAAGTTCATTATAGATCAATTTTGGTTCGCTTTTGAACTTCTTATTCTTTAATTATTGAACGTGACAAATGCTGAAATGCACAAACGCGTTAATATGCATGTTTTCGTCTAAAGTATAAATATAATCACATGGCGTAAGACAAAAAAGTTCAAATTACGTTCTTGATGCGATACTAATAATATTTATTCAGGTGCATAAAAAACAACTATATTTAACTAACATGCATCAAAACCGTAATTTTTGTATTAAAATCACTTAATACATAAAAACTAAATATCCGTCGTTATGTGGATAATTCCAATCCTTATTTAATATACTTTTTTCGGATTGTATCACTTGTAAAAATATTGGTGTAATAATGCAATGCATTACCGTATTTGGCACCGGTTACTTCTACAATATATTTTACTATATGGTAGAGGATACACACCATGGGGCGTTAGGGTGATCATCAAACTAATAAAATCAAATATTAGTTAGGGTACATATGAAAATCATTTATGCGAAAATTTTTTTATGAAAATCTGAATTTACTGCGGATAATAGTAATTTTCGGTACAGTTTTCTCGCAAACTAACATAACAATTGCAATTAAGTTTTTTGTAGAAGATATAATTATTAGTATTAAATATTGTAATAACGTCATTTTTTCGATTTTTTTCATTTATGAGTGGTTAATTTCTTTAACAATGTAAGCGAACTTTACTTAATTTAATAAAACATAAAAGATATTAAAATCTGTAAAACAAAGGTTATTATCGAAAAGAATGAAATAAAAGCTATAATTTAAAAAAAAATATGGTATAAAAAATTTGTATACTTCGCGCAAAATTTGTACTATTGTAACGTAGATTAAAAAAATATTTGATTTTATTTATCAAAATGCCGCGATTTCAAACAAAATCCAAACAACGGCACCATCTAAAATATGCACGCAACCAACGTCAATTTTCAAAAAATAAGGTCCAAGCTAAAAATACTGTTGAAAATAGTATAGATAGCGATAACAGTATTTCATCGACTATACCAGCAAGGACACATACAGAAATAGATATTCAACAACAAAAAATTGATGACCTCATAGAATATGCAATCGATTTGCCAGATCCAATACTCGCCATATTTATAACTATAATTAAGAAACTTGCTCAAGAGCAATATACTCAACTGCAATATTTAAAAACGTGGAGTAATTTATTAAATATAGTTAAAAATATGGACGATAGTGAATTAAATCTTGTAGTATCATTAATAAATCTTATGAAACATAGGAATGACCCTAAAGCTGGCAAGATTTTTTCAAAATATTTGCAGCAGAAGGCATATAATTTCATTTGTCATTTGAATAGAAGTCATATTAAATACAAAAAAAAATATATTCGAAAAATTAATCGTCTACAAAAAACAAAAAAAGTTTTACATGGTAAAATTGGAAAGTCTAAACAAATACACAAACAACACATCTCTAAGGTTCGTTCTATAGCTCGCAAAGCACCTAATATAACTGATAAGAAATTAAAATTAGCAATTCAAGATCGGCTTATGTTAAATAAAAAACAATTTAGTGCTAAAACCGTCTCCATGGCTACACAAATTTGTGAAATTGGAGAAATGTCTTATCGATCCGCTGTAACTTGTACGAAAAAGGTAATCGAATGGTTAATAGATGAAGAACCAAATAAGTGGTTTTCCATTAGCACACTTGTTGGATAGCATCAAGATGTATCGAATATTCATATTATTCAACAATGTGATATTGCTAAACTTTCTAAATGGTTTACTTTTGGAATCATGGCGGACGAGTCAACACGTGGTGATAGTAAAGTTTTTGTCATATGTTTTATGTATTGGGATCTAGTTAGTAATGAGCCAAAAGTTACTTTATTGGAACTTCAAGATTTAACTCAATGTACTGGGACATTAATCGCGCATACTGTTATTAAATCGTGTAAGAAATATCAACTAGACCCAATTAAATGTTTAATTTGGACAACAGACAATACGGCATATATGTCAGGTTATAAAAACGGCGCAGTAGCTTTATTTAATAAGGAAATTAATTCAAATTCGTTTAGAATTTCTTGTGGGCTTCATTCGGCACATATAATGATGACAAACTTTGAAAATGCCGCATTCGGAAAGCTCAAAGTCGAAAAAGGATTTTCAACTCAAAAACATCCTTTTAATTTACTGTACCTTATTTGGCAATTGCATAACGGGTATAGCGAAAGTAATAAAGACAATCCAATGAATATGAAATCGACTTATATATTTGATTTATATGCTAAATTATTTGGAATTCAATTATCTCAATTTTAAAAACCTTTACGGCAACGGTGGTTATACGAATTGCAAGCAGCAAGACAACTGGTAGAAAGAAGAGAGTATTTAGAAAAATTTACTTTTTGGTTTCTAAATAAACTAAAATTACAAAAAAAAATACCAAAAAAATATCTTGAAAAGTGGGAGCTCCTTCGACAATGGCTCGCTGATCCAGTTTTAAAAATACAAATAGAGTGTCTCGTTAAGTTTGGCGAACAAATATATGAACCTATTATGAATTTTCTTACTGGATTTGATAATGAACCACGAGTTCTTAAATCAGATGGTCAACAATTGCCACTTTTACCTTGTCGTCGGGCTCATGAAATGCCCGATGTAGTTATTAAATGGATGGGAACTTTAAATAGGATTAGTAATAATATCTGTTCATTCTTTGATACGGAGTTATGGAATGCTATTGATGTCTTAGACGATAATGATTTTGAATGTTTTTTTAATAGTTTAGAACTTGGTATTGATAAAGCCAAAAATTCTTTGGAAACTTGGATGGATATGTGGCTTCACCTTCCATTAAGCGTTTGTCGATTAGGTGGCAAATACGGTCATGAGTTTGCTAAAAGTTATTTGAATGTGAGGTTAAAAAAACAACGAAATCAAATTCCTAGTCTTAAAGAGTTGTGTTTTACAACTCTTTTGGAATCTGATATTGAACGATCAAATTCTAACGATTTTGGGTTGTTACAGGCAATTGAAGATCCATCATTTTTACATGAATTAATAAGTTTTTCTAATTCTGACGAATTATCAATTTATTCTTTTCCTTTACTATATGAATTCGTCAAATGCTGAATTTATTATATCATTATTCACCAACAACAGGTTGAGAGACTGTTTAATAAGTATGATCTCAAATGTCATACAAACATGAACCTCAAAACCAAAGAAGCGAAACTTCGCCTTTCAAATATCAAAAAAATTTCTATATCAGACGAGGAATTAGCAATTCAAAGAAAGAATAAAAGAAGAAAATTGGACAAACCTGATGATAAAAAACAGATAACGTTTGGAGAAATAGAGGCCGACAATTTGTTTTATAGTTTGTTTACTAAATAAAAAAATAGTTGTTCACTAAATAAAGAAAATAATTTGCGAAAGTTAAATTTCCGAAATTTCCGAAATTATCAACAAACCGATAAAAAATCCTTACATAATAAATTTATATATGACCCTGACTATGATTTGATTTTATTAGTTTGATGATCACCCTAATGGGGCGTACCCACGTTTGATAAATACGGTAGATTATTGGAAAAACAAGAAATTTTTTCATCAGAGTTAATGTACTCCCACATGTTGCATAGCAACTATGCTATATAATTTAGTATTTTCGGAATTTTAATCTGGGATTTTGAGTGTGGGAATAAATAGTGGTGTAACAATTACAATATATTTTATATTATGTATAAATTTTTATACTACAACAAAATATAATACTGATTTATTATCCGGCATTTTATCATATGCATGTGATTTTTTTGTCTTGATATTTTTTGCATGAGGTTACATATCATATATTCATATATAAATATTGGGTAACATCATTATTGATATAAACACAATAAGAAAATTTTATCAGGGTTGATATCATACATATACCCCTAATCAAAAATTGTTTATATATTTAAAGTCTAAATGTTTTGACTTCTTTTTCAGTTTTGTTTCTTATAATTAGTGATATATCCCAAATAAATGTTTGAAAACTAGAGAAAAACTTATTCAGTTTCTAATAAAATATAAATTATCAGCTATAGTTAATTATTTGAGCAAACAAAAAATATGGTCCTATAGAGAATTTTGTATGTCAGTCATGAAATTATCATTTCTTCATTATCTTTAAAACTAAACTGGAAGGAGCATGATAATCATTGGGCATCCCACTTTATGAAAGAAGTAGAGAAGCTTTAAAAAAAAATCAACATGATTTTATAATCTTCAAAAAAAAGGTGAATTTCTTTTTTTATTTTTTTTTATAAATAAAGTAAGAGTGATTTCTATAGAGCTGTATGTGAATGTCCTTGTTTAGAAAAATTACTGTATTATGATAATTTGTAACCATCAAAGGTTCCTGATACAGGTTTCTGACTTTTTAAATAAGGATCAAGTAATTCTCACAAGCAGAGAGTGGCTATGAAACCTTTCCTTAAAGAAATATCATATGTATTTTTTAATTAGTAAATGATAAACATAATGCAAATGGTATAAAACTTTATTGAATAAATCTTTTTAAAGAAAATGAAAAAAAAGTTTAAATAATTCAACTAGTAAGTATTATTATTTACTTTTGTTAGTATTAAAATAAGCTATGTTATATACATTATTCCAAAAAATCTATCACAAAATACATTTATACACATAATATTGAAAGTAAATCATATTTAATGTAGAATTTATTTAAAATTAACCAGTAGTAAAATTCACTAGTCTTAGAATTTTATAGTTAAGATTTTTTTTATATAATATAATGTAAAATAAATATAAGAGTTTTCAAGAGTTCTAAATATTTTTACTTAGAGTACTGATTTTATAGTTTTGAGATACAGCACCCTGGTGAGTTTTGCCTAAAATTTTTCTTTAATATATATATCTTTAAAAATATATACATGTTTTCAATTACCATTATTATCTTTTGTTTAATTTATGCTTTATTATTAGGGATCAAAAAAATTAAAGAAAAAAAACAAGGTAAAACAGAGTCAGAATTTTTATCAGCAATACCGCTAGCAATTTATTATCCCAAGCTGGATAAAGGAATAACAACAACAATATCAGCAACTGCTAAAACACCAATATCTATTAAATTTTGGTGTATGTTTCAAAATAATATCAAATCTTATCAAGTTAACTCTAGCACCAAACAATATACAAGCCCACAATTTAAAAGTTATGATAAGCTTTATGACATTTCAAATGAAGATGTTAGAGAAATGTTAAAAAATAATATATTAGATAATCTCCATGTCCTCACAACTTCTGAAATCTGGTAGAAGTATATAAAAGAATTTGCAAAGAGGATAATGTTTTAGGTGAGCCGAATTTTATCACAAACAAGCTAACAAATTGTTACTTGTTGTAGAGGTAAAAACACTATAGGTTTTGTACTTAGATGATGATAAGCAACTACACTTAAAATTTTATAAGGATTTGGAAAAAAAGTCAGGTCAAGAAAGATGTTTAAAATCTGGCAGTAAATTTTTTGTTGTAGAAATTTTATATCAGATTTTTAGATATTTGGCTGTAAATAATTTGCAATATGGAATTTTAACTACGTACAATCAGCATTGGTTCTTAAAGAGGCCTTTACATGAGCCAGATACCCTTTATATTTCACCAACTATAAAAATCAGATCAGAGAGCCCTATGATACTCCAATGCTATTCATATATACAGCATTTGGCCAGAAGATGTCTTAGCACAGGAGAGACACTACCATTAACATCATCCTCTAGTAATATTAATGTTGATAGTTCTGATGATGTCTCAGGATCTGATTATAAAGAAACTTTATGAGAATCCAAATGGGCAAGAATTGTTATTAATTTTGATCTCTTTTTTTTTTTTTTTACATTAATAATATTTTTTTTTATATTTTTTAGTTAAAGGCAAAATAATCTTTATTAGATGTTTATATATTTGACTGGCTGTTCTTTTAATTGTTGATTATTTGACCAAGCATTATAATAAGGTTATTATTATGACATATTTCGTATAATGTGGTTTTAAATTTTAACTCCATATACTTATATTGGTTTTTTTTTTCAAACCTCTGCATCTAGCATTGTCAGACTTACATACGAATAAAAAAGGAAATGTCATGAAAAACATACTGATACCTTTACTGAAATCTGCAAATTAAGTAGTAGGCGTATTATCCTTACACCGTCTAGTGATTGCAGGCAAATCTGCAGGAACGCAGTTACCCAATTATCTTAGTCAAAATATCAGGGTTTGGCCTCGATTTACTAAAAGTCCGATGCGGATTAAGTTCTAACGAATATCTCCGATATTTAAACTATGTTGAGTATCTTGAAATGGCATGTAGTTCCTGAAGGCCCCCAAAAGTAAGCGAAGAATTCAAAGAGCACAATGTCTATGCGCTGCCAAAAATAACATTGACAGAAAGCTCTCGAATAGGAGATACAGATTGCTTATGACATTATATACCTTTGAATTGCAATTACAATTAACCTGCCCAGAAAAGTGCATTAATCAAAGTTGTAGGCAAATTTTCCTGCAAGACGTTCGAGAACGTAATTAGATAAAAAGGTAACTATTATACAAAATTTTTATTTTATTTTGTAATTTTACACACTCATATCTTGCTAAAAATTTTAAAATCTATGATAATTCTAGAATTCCTTAAATTCCGTAGAACACTAATACTAATCTATCAAAAAAATTCAAAAAAAAAATCACGATCGTGGAAGATCCTCATCAAAAGAAATTCGGTTAAACTTTACAAAAGTTGCTAAACATGATCGAACAACACTATCCAAAAATGTAATTATTGCGATGAATACTGTATTGATTTAATTGACCAATTAAAAGGTAATTCATTAAAATGTAAAAAACTTCCAAGAAATATATAATAAGATTTGTCAATAACTCAAAAAACCGGATTCTGGTACTTCAAATAATATGGGTTTACATTGTTGCAATATTGTAAACCTTGAGCTTTCAATACCAACAAATGTGAAACTAATATAGAATGAAAGGTTGTATTGGCTGACAACATTTTAAAAATAACAGCTTTAATATTTTATATTTTTTTTTTACGTAATATCTGATAAATTCAAAACTATTTAGCCACTTCTTTTTTAAAAAAAATTTCTCGGCTAAACAAAAGCAATATTTTCGGTTTCAATAAAATTTTATCTCAGACTTTGATGTTTTAAAAAAGGTTTTTAAATAACAAAAAACGTTTAAAAAGTTTTTAACACATTTTTTCACCATCCCTAATACTAGATAAACTTAAGAATCCCACCAAGATTCTTAATATAACTCGATTAGTTATTGAAGATTCGTACAAGGCAATAAGATTTGAATTTTGTCCTGTTAACAAGTAACAGCATAAATCATACCCTTAAGTAAGCATTAACTAGGAAAATGTATGGTATTGTTAGATACTGAGCATATCATATTATGATCACCTTTACACAAACGCGTGAATATGCATATTTTTTTACAAATTTGAACACGCGTGCTGACAGACAAAAAATTTCCAAATTACGTTTCTGATATGATATTCATAACTAGGCTAATGCACAGCATTGTATATCTGGAGCCTATAATTATCGAATCAAAACGCAACTTTTGATGCACTTTACTTGTCCATTAAGGATCCTCCGATATGCTCCGGATTAATAAGTTTACTCAGCAATCACAGTATGTTATAGAGATTTTCCAAATTCCAGCTTAGCGATCAATTCCATGATTACTGCGGAATCCTGTGATTCATGGAGATAATAACTGGAATTCTAGCTGGCAGAATTAAACACAGAGACAATATATATTTACTGTTATCTAATAATTTTATACTATTTTTATTATGGTTAATTGAGAAACGCAGAGAAATTTAAATGTATTGTTTCTTTTTACTATCGAATCTTATCATTTGTTTTTGTTTTTTATAGTACAAAAATTTTCAATAAAAAAAAATTAATTTAATCAAAAATATTTTTATGATTTATTATTTTATATTTTACATATATGGGAATCCACACAGCAAAAGGAGGCAGTGGGCAAAAATTTTGATTTTGTAATTTTATAAAAATTATATTTCTATACTTTAATTCAAGAAATTAAGTTTAAAAACTTTTTATTTTTTTGCCCACTGCCTCATTTTTCTGTAGGGTTCCCATATAAAAATCCTCAGTCTTGTGATTTTTGACAAAGCTTATGTGTAACATAAAACAACGATAGTTTAAAATTAAGCTTTTGTAATCATCTGCATTCAAATAAGAAAAATTTTTTCTAAATTTCACTATAATTTTATAATTTGGTCTTCCTAATTCTAAATACATGTTTTATAGTTCTATTAATATTTGAATAAAAAAACGCAGTAACCTTTATTTGTACTAATTAATGAAAAATTCTTTCGTTTTCTAACAAAATTATCTATTGCTTTTATATCAAATCATGATTATATTTATAGCACAATAAGAATGAACTTCTTTTTTTTATAAAATAACTAGGTAAGAGACTACATGAATCTACATGAACTTATACGACTTAACATAATATCTTAAAATATTATACATTCTACAAACCTTCAGTAATACTACACAAAAAAAAATAATAAATAAATAAAACATAAATTGTTAAATGACTTTATACTTACCAACTATTATATAATATATTATTTGTCATCTATATTATGTTTGTAGATATATGAACCTACATTATAACACTACGAATTCTGGGTCACGAATCAACACATGACACTTTTAAGGGACTTGTGCTTGTGTGACATATGCTAACTTTATATGATTAGGCGATTCATAGTAACATTGGTTAATATTGTACCAATCGGATAGTTTTAAACAACTAAAAATTGGATTCACAAACGTAAACAATAAAATGTGTAAATTTCCATCCAAATATGAATTCAATATGAATTCAAAATATTGATTTTAACCAATCGATTAGCTCTAACAGTTCGATTAAAATTTTTAGATAAAATTTTGAACAGTAAATTAATTTATTATAATAGAATTTTTTACTCCAAAATATATTGATTGTTCATTTTATTCGTTCGTTTTAATATTTCCTTCCCCTCCTAAAGACTCCTAAAAACGATAGGCGAGATATTATATAGTTTATTAAGTATATTTGAATAATAATTCATATTATTTAAATCAAATTCGTCGAATGCAAAGATTTACTTTTGCGCAAAATTTTTTTTATTTATATGACTTAGTAAAAAACTTATTACATAACGGATAAGGCGCCTAATCCTTTAATACATAAGAGAAAGCTTAAAAATCATATAACTATTAAA